TTTTTTGATAAAACTACTCAATATTCAGAAGAATATATAGCAGCCTATCTAGCCGCCAAGCTAGAAAGGAAACAAAGAAAAATAAATAATCTTTTTTAATAAAAGCTTTATTTATTTTTCTTCTGATAAATAATCTTTTTTAATTTACATTGGTGTTTATAATGTCCTATTTTACCACACTTATAGCATACTGGGAGTTTTCTCTTTTTCTTTGTATTTGGAGAAAATTTATTGATTAATTTTCTCTTTGATTTTTTATAATACTCTTTATCCTTATTCTTCTTTTTGGCTTTAATATATTTTTCTTTTTTGTATTTTTTCTTTTTCTTTTTGACGTAGTCAGGCATATTTTTTCTATCTAAGTAATAGCCAAATTGCTCACAGAAGTCTCCAAGTTCTTTTTTCTTGGTGAGCTTTTGTTTATCTATTTGCCTTTTTAATTTCATATCAGTACAGAGGGCTAAGCCTTCGGCACATATTTCTGCGGAGAGTTCTCCGAGTGTATATGATGAATATACTATTATTCCATTGTGTTTTTTGCGAAGTCTTTCTTTGACTTTTTCTGCAAATAGATATGGAAGACCAGCTATGAATTTTTCTTTCCAATGGTCTAGCTGGCAATCTTCACGTATTAAAAGCCTTGAAAAGAGTACATCTTTATACCATTTATAATGAGAAAGAGCAGGACAGCGTAAATTAGATAGCAAGTCTTCTGATCTTGCTGCTAGTAATGAAGTATTGCCTACAAAATGTAAGGTGATTGTGTATATCAAGGTATTAACAGCATCACTTTCTGTATATATAACTTCTTGGTTTTGTTCATTTCTTCCAGTCCATTGTCTAGTATTGTTTAAAATTCTTTGTTTGGTGTCATCATCCACATAAAAATCCCACCATCCTCTTAACCATCCTGTGAATCCATTTACTATTGCTTTGGCAACTTCTTGATCATGGTTGCCTGCCATTTTATTTACAGAGGCATACATGTTCATATGTCTCATGACATCTAATATTTTTAATTCAGATAAACCATCTATTTGCCAATTGACTATAGATCTTCCAGAATAAGATACTGCCTGTTGTATTGAATCTTCTTCCATCTGAATGTCAATAGGAGTAGGTCTCTTATGATAGGGTAAGGCTGTTATGGGTTTCCAGTATTTGCCATAAGCTATTTTATTGATGGTATCCATTAGAGGTGTAGTATCCATAAATGCTTTTTCCTGATTTTGGATTGTATCCTCTATTATGGGTTCTTCCTCTGTGAGCACCATTGTTTCATGCTCAGGTAGGATAGCTTTTCCTTTGTCAGATGACTCAGGTATTTGAGAAGTAATCGTAGGTGGAGGAATATTGATTTGAGGTGAATGTACTCCTTTCATATCTAGTTGGGATAGTTTGGAGATTAATTGATCCATAAGGGATTTATTATTTTCTCCAATGTGGAATTTATTCTTATTTAACTCAGGAGGAGGTTTAAATAATACTGATTTAGGAATGGGAGATACAGTAGGTATTTCCTTGGATACGATTCTTTCTATTCTTTCAGTTTGCTTTCCAAGGGATTGTAGATATAGGTTTGTATAATTATTTTGTTTTACAATTTGAGGTATGTACTCTTGTTTTTTATTGATCTCCTTAGGTATGGCTTTATATGGTGTAGCCACTATATCATAGAAGGATGATGAGTGTACAGGCTCATTTTTCTTTGGAATGCCTGCTTTAAGTATAATGCTTTTCTCCGGTGGATGGATACTAGCAGTTGTAGTACCATCAGTACTTATATATGTTTTTTCTTCTATTGTTTGAATTTTTTGAATTTTATCAAACGCGGGAATAGTAATATTCTTCTCTAAGCATAGGTCTTTTAGCCAATGAAAAAATCCTATATTTAATTTTTCTTTGTGTAAGAACTTATTATATTTTTTATGTAGTAATTCCATTAATCTAGGTGGTTGAAACCTTTGTAAATACCATTCTCGAATATTTTTATTATATATATATATATATATATATATAGGGTCTTTCAACATTAAAACAATTTTTTTCTGATGGATTTTTTAGGTACATTTGTAATTCTACATTTCAAAGTTACAACCTTAAAATGTAGAATTACGGATGCACCTCACAAATACATCGGAAAAGATTATTTTAATATTGAAAAACCCTATGATTGATCATCTTGACATCGAGATTTATGACGATGAAAAATAAAAAGATTTTGAGTCTCAGAAATAGTGCATCTTACAACCTATCATGTACATCGTCCATTTTCAAGTTTTTCATATGTTTATAGATCTACTTGATTTTAATCATTTTTGGAATTTAAAATTTTATAATTAGATATAAAAATAGATTTTGAGATAATCCTAAGAATATTTTACATCAAAAATATATATTATGATAAAATTTAAAGGTGCACCTTAGTTGGATTGTTTAAGGTTGGCTATAGGCGAAAGTGAACAGTGATTTCACCTACCTTCATCACCGTCAAAAGTTCATTGCACGATCACGAATTGTCCGATAGTGTTTTAATTTTCATTTTTTTTCTACAAATCCGAATAACTTGAAATTTGGAGTGTGTGTTCATCAAAAATAGGAAAATCTATGAAAAGTATATAAAAAATATATTTACATGAAAAAATTGACCAAAATACCCCCGAAATGATCAATTTTGTTTTCACGAATCATTTTTTATATTTTTTATTAGGTGCGCTTCATTAAGATGTATACACACTCTAATTTTATGTCATTCTAATTTATAGAAAAAAATGAAAAATGAAATACTACCGGATAATTATAACCGTGGGATGAATTTTAGACGGTGATAAAGGTAGGTGAAATCACTATTCATTTTCGATAAAAAAGATAGGCCCTACCGGTATTTTAAATGGTTTAAAAATTAATTTGTTTAAGGTGTTAATAAGTGGTCTCAATGATAATCAAAACTTATTAGGATGGGAGGTGCTACCACCGCAACCCCGACCCTTTTCCCACAAAAGCATATTTGATACTTCGTTTTTACAAATTTGAATTTAAGGTCGTCAATTGAGAATCTCTAAAGTCTAAAGCAAACTTCACACAAAAGCATCACTTAAGCTGGAAAGGTGACAATGGTCATTTCCGATAAGACCCAACCTTCTCCAGCGACCCAATCATCTCTAGTCAATGACGACCATGCAGGTACAAAGATCTCTAAGCATGGAAGCGGGCCGGGCCGGGCCGGGCCAGCCTTTTTCGAGCCTAGACTGCATAACCTTTGAGTTGGCTTCCGAACTTCCGAGCCTACGTTATCTTAGAGTTGGCATGACTTGGCCAATCATAAATATATTAGAAGGAAGTGTAGCAAATTTTCATTGTAACCATCATAGCTCATATTTTGTCGTCCATGCCCTAATTTTTTTTTTTTTTTTTGTTAAACGGGCTAATCAAGCCTTGATATGTACTGTGCCCTGTCAAAAGGGTTCAAGTACACTCGATATCGGAGGAAAACGAAAAGGCAACCATGATCATCCTGGAAAAAAAACCCAAGATTACTTCTTTAATCAATGACAACCCTACATGTCCAAAATTCTAATTAAACATGATCATCCTGAAAAAAAAACCCCAAGATTACTTCTTTAATCAATGACAACCCTACATGTCCAAAATTCTAGTTAAACATGGCAACGAGCCAGGCCAGCTATATTCCGAGCCCAACCTGAGTTGGTGTTCCAAACTTTCGAGCCTAGCTTGGATCATCTCTTACGGATGGCTTGATTTGGCTCAATCACGAATATATTTAACAAATGCAAAATCTTATTGTAACAATTATAGACTCGTATTTTGTGGCCCAAACCCTAATTTTTTTTAGCCGGGCTAGTCAAAACTCGTATTTTGTGGCCCAAACCCTACTTTTTATTTTATTATTATTATTAAATTTTTTTTTTATCCGGGCTAGTCAAGCCCTTATCCGCGTTGTGCCGTGTAAAAGGGTTAGAATACATTCGATATTTTGAGGTTGAATTAGGGTTTTCTGGACATTATCAGTAAATTAACTCCTTTCAAATGACACAAATTCTTTGATGAGAGAGGAGAGAGAAGACCAAAGAAATTCCTGAAATCATTTCTCTCATCCGAAAAGGCTGCTGTTCCCAAAGCCGATCTCCTCCCATTACACAAGAAAATTATCCTCTGCGACGAAACCCTAATTTTCGGTTTCCAATCCAAGTCTCTTTGAAATTCTAGGGTTTTCTTCACTTCTGATCCATTTACTCTTTAATCTAGGGTTGGCTGAGAATCATTTTACGTTTTGACCTTGTTTTCACTGTCATATCTTTAATTCTGGGGTCTTTCTGGTTTTTGTTATTTTGTGGACATTCCTGAACGTCTAGGGTACGTTTTGACCAAGGGTTTTATTATCTAAAATTAGGGTTTTATTGGTATATCTGTGGAAAGTCTTAGGGTTTGCACTGTGTCAGTGTTTGGCTGCTGCTTCTTTTAAAAGTTAGAGATTAGTCTCGATCTAGGGTTTTGTTGTTTCGTTGGAGGTAGTAGGGTTGCTCATCGCTGTTCTGGTACTTTTATGGTTTGTGATCCCTTCACAAGTGGGGCTTTTCTCTGAGGCTTCTATCGCTTTTCTTAAAGCCTAGGATTTAACTTGATCTACAGCCTGTGCCATGGATTTTACTGGCTTGGTTTTCGGGTTGCTTGTTCTGGTTCCTATGGTTTACTCGAATACTGAAGGTGATGCGTTGTATACGCTGAGGAGGAGCTTATCAGACCCGGATAACGTGTTGCAGAGCTGGGATCCAACCCTAGTTAATCCTTGCACTTGGTTTCACATCACCTGTAACCAGGACAATCGTGTTACCAGAGTGTGAGTTTTTCTTGTTACTTTTGGTTCTCACAAACTTGGGTTACTGGTTTTTTGTTGTTTTAATAGCTAATATTTTTTTCATTATCTGTTGTTTGTAAAACTGCGACTTTATTAATCAGCTTGTCTTTGTTTTTTCATTTTCTCTTTAAATTTTTTCATTGGGTTCTATATGGAAAATATGTTTTGGTTTTGTCCTTTTCCATCTTGTTGTTAGATAATGGCATGGGATTGTAATGTTTTACCTTAAACTGTATATTTGTAATTTCAAAGTGCGATATGAAGCTGTGGTTTGTTAACTGAAAATTGAAATTATGGATCGGATTTTGTGCTCCCTATTTTTGTTTTCATATGGAATAAAATTACCTGAAATTCAGAATTCCTTGCATCTGTGGATCATTATGAGATTTTCCCAAACTCCGTGCAATATATATCCAAAATTTTGGAATCTCCAACTGCAATTTGTAAGAAAAACATTCTTAAATGACCCACCAAAAGAACTGAACATTAGTAAATTTATACTCATAAAAAGAGAGACTTTGATAATACCTTCTCAGAATTTTGAGAAAAACTGGAAATTGTGTATTCACGCTGCTGTTAAATTTTTACCCAATGTTGGCTAAAATCAACTTTCCCATCCTTATGATTCTTTGGCTACATCCAATCTTCAGTGTCTTGTAGTGGTATCCACAATTTAGTTGCAGATTTTATGTGCAAGGTTTCAGATTTGGGGGGCATTAATTTGTTTGATTTGGGGGGCATTAATTTGTTTGATTTGGGGGGCATTAATTTGTTTTGGCAAATTCTGATATTTTATGAATTTATTGATGATTGTCTTGATTTATTAGTTCATTTTCCTTTTTTCAGGGACTTGGGAAATTCTAACTTATCCGGTCGTTTGGTATCTGAACTTGGAAAGCTCGAGCATCTGCAGTATCTGTAAGTTCTCTCTTTTCCGTTTATTCTCCATTTAAATGTAGTTGATTACCTTATTTGTTTAAGTTGCATGCATGTGTTTATTTATATCCAAAAAGGTGACATTGCTGCGGTTATCTCGATTGAATGACTTTTGCATGACAGTGGTTATATAGGCACAGGCGCTAAATTTTTTTGTCAATGCTCTAATTAGTTTGGATAATCATGCAATGTGTGTGTAGATAGATAGATGGTTAGATGGATATAAAGACACTCACATATGCTCTTGTTTGCATGTATTGCACGCTCATCAAAACATGTGTGTGCGTGTGCAATCAGATTTGTGAGTGTTCTGATGCTCGAGTGCTTGTATGTGTTTGTGCATGCTTGCATATTTGTTATGCTGACAAATACTTTTCGGGCTACTGCTATGCAATCAAATAATTTCATGGCCTTGTGGGTCACTGTTCTTTCCCATAGTTTCCTTGATGGTTAACATTCCAGTAATAACTCCAGGTCATCAGCTTAAATTGGTCGTGTTCCACAGTTTGTTCAAAAATGCATTTTCTTGTGTAGAGCACCTTGTGCTTAAATTGTCGCTGGATAATAAATGGTCTTATGGAAATTGAGAGAGCGTTCTAATATGTGCCGTCTTTTGGTTTTTTGTTTGTAGGGAGCTTTACAAAAATAATATTCAGGGGACAATTCCAGCCGAGTTTGGTAAGTTGAAGAACCTCATCAGCTTAGACTTGTACAACAACAACATCTCAGGGGTCATTCCTCCTTCACTTGGAAACTTAAAGTCCCTTGTCTTCCTGTAAGTTTAGTTTTTTCTCTTTTCTATTTCTTGCTTTATGGTGGAAAATAATCACTACAACTCTCTCTCTATCTCTCTTGAATTGCATAACAAATATGCAAATATCAAATTACACGATCAGCACATCTGTCCTCAGCCTTTACTGCATTTATGGCATGCTTTAAAACTCTTTCAGTCCTTATAAGTTCATTTTAACTTTTGATCGAGCTTTATCAATATCGAGAAAAAACAAACATATAGGAATGGGAATTATTACACACAGGTAAGTCAGCCTAGGGACACCATTCTGTGTCGGGTATTCCACACCATTTCTCTATTTGTGCTCTTGTCTGAGTTACAAGTCTTTGGTATTGGCAATTGAGAATCCCTTTCTGGTAGTACCTCGCTCTCAAACAGGTTCATCCACCTCAACCTCTTGAAATCCTTAGCAATTTCCCATGAGATATGCACATTTTAGTGCTATCTTTCCTGACTTCCTCTCATGGTACCAGACCTCCAGAGGTTATGGTATTTATCTTGCTATATCCCTAACTAACTTTAGAGAGGCAATGCTTTCAAATTATTCTATTAAGAATTGGAAGTCCATGATCAAATCAGTGCCTCATAGGAACCAGTCAAAACCTGATCTATAGTAGGTACAGAAGAAACTCATAATTATCTTGCCTATTCTTCATTCATTTGGAGTAATTGTATTTTCTTTTGTCCTTCATGATTGCTTCACTCTGGAGATGATTGGAGGTCAACACCCTGTCTCTCTCCGGAGGGGGAGGAGCTTTTATTTATTTTTTTATTTTTTAAGGAGGATGAGTTAGGGTGTTGTTATGGTGCTCCACAACAGTAACCTGGCATATGATGCTCCATTGACTTGACACAATCATAAGAAAACGGAATTTTCAGAGAAGAACCTATTTCATTTCCATAGCCAAATTCTTCTTCTGTACATGCCCTTTAATAATAGATGAAACACCTCTCCTAAAGTTTACTGGTTTGCCCTATCTCACATCTTTCACATTAGTCTAAATCTTGGTCCTCATCTAGCTCACCATTTACTTTCATTGATTATTCCCGTACTGTTAAGTTCCTCAAGAACCTCTGACAAGTTCATGTTTGCAACCAACCATTCCTGATAAAAAAAGGCTAATGCACCATAATGACGGGGATCTTTGTCGCCCCCCAAAAGTAATGAACAACTCTTTTTTTCTCCTTTCCTGGAGCCAAGCTGTCGAGTCCCACAGAAACATCTCCATCTCCTATCTACCACATGAACTGGAGCATAAAATGAAATATAGCCTTGCCCTTTCGATATCTATCCTGTTAAGGAACTGGGTATTTTCGTTACCTTCGTTCAAATATCTAAGTCAAATGTTCCTTTTTTTGACAGATATAGGGAAATTTATTAAAGCTTACCTAGTAGATCAACTATTTTGTATTTTACCAACATCTTTTACTTTAATTTAAAAATACCCATCAAAATAAACATGGCTGAGTTGGAATGGTTGAAAAAGGGTGAACTCTTAAATTGTTGAAAAGTTAGGTATATATTGATAAATTTCCCCAATTCATCATATAACATAAAAGGAAACAACAGTAAAAGGAAGAAAACACATAAAAAAGATGACAAGTTGGCATCTCTTACTCATAGACACTCCACATCTAACACTCGACTTTTTTGGTAAAAATTTTCTTTTTAACTTGTATTGGAAATTCTCCTTGTCTAGCTTACAATGTATTTTGAACTCTTTGCTTCCTGTTTTTCTACCCTCCAAAACCCTTCATATTCCATATTTAGTTATTGACCTCTCAATGTCATTCATTAATATTGATTAAAATATATTTGTTTTCTAAGCTCCTTTGAACTTAACCAGTTGGTTCTTGTAACTTGTTTATGTACTTAACTGATACTTTACTGGCAGACGGCTCAATGATAACCAGTTAACTGGGAGAATCCCCAGAGAGCTTGCTGGAATCCCTAGCCTCAAAGTTGTGTAAGTTCAGGACTTATGGTTTAATTGTCTTATTTTGTACGTTTGTGTATTTCAGCTTCATAGATATGTGCATGTTATTAATCAATTTCTTATAAAATAATTTGTCTCAATGCTTTAACAGAGATGTATCGACTAACAATTTATGCGGAACCATTCCCACTACTGGGCCATTTGAGCATATTCCTTTGAGCAAGTAAGGACCTCACTTTAGAGCTCTTTCATATTGGATTTCACTTTTATGTTACTCTTTTTGCTTTGATCGTTTTCTGAGGCATTGTAGATTACTTTTCGTTACATTGTGATTCATTAGTTCTTTAATGTATTTTGTGCATGCTCAGCTTAATCCATAATCACAGACTACAAAAAAGAAATCAATAAACTTGTGTGGGTTATGGAAATGCATTTTTTACCTGTTAATAAAGCTTCTCTGAACTTCCTGTTCTTGTCCTGGCTTGATAGTCATTTTCAGATCCCAAAACTCTGGAAATTAGTAATATGTTTTCTCTATGAGTTTTCTTCATTAGCTTTGCCCACTCTATACTCACTGCTGCAATATGTAATTGGCTCTATTGGGGATACCATAAATTAAAAGTTGTTTTGATTCTAACTGTAGGGAGAGAAAAGATATTGCTTTCTTTCAATAAATTAGAACTGTTTTTGAGTCTTGAGCTATTGAGGAGGTTCGGAACAATCTACAATGAATGATGGCTCAATTAGCTTATTTAGAAATGTAACATGTAGTCATTCGATGTCTACATTTGTTCAACGTCTACTCATGATCTCTCTGTGTTCGCGATACTAGTGTTATGCACGTTCTAGCCATGTGATATTAAATATTAATTATTTGAAACAAATTTTTAATTTTGAAATAACATTTTCAAAAAGGCATATTTGATTATGGTGAGAGGGAGAGATAATTAGATGGATGCAACTCTACATATGGGCTTTGGGCTTAATATTAGATAATAATTGTATAAGTGTATTTAAATTTGAATAAATTTTCATCATATTACAAAACTTATAATCAATTAAAGGGAGGTAGAAAGGGGGTGAAATAGAATCATAAAGAAATAGATTCAATCCCACCTACTTTCTATCTCCCTAGAATTGATTATAACTTTTTAAAATATGGTGAAAATTTATTCAGATTTGAATATGTTCAGACAATTACCATCTAATAGAAGCCCATATGTAGAGTTGGATCTATCAAATTCTCTCGCCATAATTGAATATAGCTTTGTGATAATGTTATTTCAAGATTCCGAATTTATTTGAGTGATTTAATTTTTATATCACATGCAACACACTCGTACAACACTAGTAAAATTGTTAAAGTACGGGAACCTAGTTTGAATAGCAGGTCATTCATGTAGGTATCTATTCATTTACCAGCTAGTCATTATTTCTTAAACATAGATCTGTTCACTTCACTAATGCAGCCTAGGAATTGGTATGCCAAATAGGAACTTTGTTGATTCTCTCTCGTTCTCTCTTTCTCACACACACACATTATGGATTGACATTGGTTTATCGCACTAATTCTGACCTTTCATTTGCGCAGCTTCGAGAACAACGCACGCCTCGAGGGCCCGGAGTTGCAGGGACTTGCTGTGTATGATACCAACTGCTGAAACTACCACTTTAATTGATGGGGGGGGGGGATCTAAACCCCAAATGGTGTGGTTAGTTTGGGCCTTTCCTTGATTACAAGTGTAGCTTTTATGTATGTATCTCTCTCTCACGTGGATCTTTCCTTGGTAACTGTTTGTAGCAACAGTTATATGATTGTGTATGTAGATATAATAGGGTTGCGGACTAAAGCCCCATTTTGACATCTTGGAGCAATATTCCAACTTATATCTTTAGTTTTCGTTATGGTCAATCGTGATAAAAGGTGAAAAGAATTACTCACCATTGGAAGTAAACATGTGAGCAATATTATCCTTGTTTTTCCTGATAGCAGTAAAAGACTCTTTTTTAAAAAAGACTATACAGTAAATTCTTTTTTTTAATGTATATATATATATATATATATATATATGGGAAATGATCTAATACAACGGTTGTATAGTATAATGTAATCACACTTCTATATAATTATATTTTTGGCATTTGTATGATCCCAAATTATGCACACACATTTTCTTCATCATCGTAATCAATCCTACGAAAAAAAAAAATTCAATTTGCATCTTAGATATCGTCAAACTTAATATTCATCCAACAATGAATCTCGACCATCCATTTGGTGAATTTCAAGATTTAGGTTTTAACAAATTCAAAATCACTTTTTTTTTTTTTTGTGCATTATTAATCTAATG